AGCATATGAATACATGACAGCACAATTCTTTTACAAATCCCTCTCTGTTGAAAATGCCAAAAATCAAAAATTTGATTCCTTTGCTGTTTCTTTGTGGCTACCTGGTGTTGTAAGATAAACCCTGACCACTGCTCGTCATGTTCTGTGAGCTATCTGGTAGACTTGCTGCCACTTTCCTAATAGGAATCTACAGTGCATGCTTGGCCCAGTATGGTAAAATGAAACCATTTGGTAGTCTTAAGACAGATATAGTTAACTGTATGATAGCAACTATGTACAAGTTACATTAGTATGATTTACATTGTTATATGAATTAGGAACAGGAATAGTCACCAGGCCCCTCAAGCCTGCTGTGCCACTAAATGGTTGATCTGATTAGTCCACATTCCTACCGACTTCTGATAACCTTTCACTTCTTTCTTGTCAAGAATCTGACTACATATGTCTTAAAAATATTCAAGGATTCTGCTTCCAACACCTTTTCAAGGATAAAATTCCAAGCACATTCGACCCTGTGTGAGAAAAACAGTTCTCCTCTTCATGGTCTTAAATGGGCAGCCATTTTATTTTTTAATCCAAATCATTTTTATAAGTTGCAAATGGTTGAGGACCTGGAACTGATTCCTATGGCACACTGTCTTGTTACAACTTGCCAACCTGAAAATGACTCATCTATGCCTATTCTCTATCCCCAGTTAGCTAGCCAATCTTCTATCCGTGCCAACGTGCTACCTGTACACCATGAACTTTTATTTTCCACAATAATCTTTAATGTTGCACCTTATCAAATGCCTTCTGGAAATCTAAATACTTTACAATCACTAGTTCCGCTTTGCTGGACTTGCTTGTGACTGACACACTTCCAGTGATGACTAGTGTTAAAAATGAGTCAAGTGACATTTATGTCCATACTCTCTGTTTGTCCTGCTTGAGCTGTACCCATTGATGTCTGCTGCAGATGTGCTTTGAGATAGAACACTTCACTGTGCTCTTCAATTCTTTCCCTTCAGCTGCTTGCCCTCAATCCAGTAGGTGTATTTTTATCATGTTGGCAACTGGAAAGATTGTATGCAAATATAACAAACATTGCCAACGAGCAGTGGAAAATATTGCCACAGTCTTGACACCCCTTTTCAATTTAACTGCTGCTGTTAAATTGTGTTGTGTTGTGTTTTAGAATCCTTTTGTTGAACAATGTTTACACTTCCTTCAAACCATCATCATTCCTCCCCTCAAATACCCCTCAAAGCTTCCAGATTACTTGCCTTTATTTGCTGAGACACAGAACACAAGAGCAAGGAGGTTATCCAGTTTTGAATAATTTAAGAATAAGGAGTAAAAAGAAAGATACTGCTTGAAGAGAGTCCATCAGTCCTGTGCCTGCTTATCATCGTCAACAATGCCCGTGCCGCCATCCCCCTTCGACCGCTCCACCACCGTCTGGACTCAAGCATCATCAAAGTCACCAATCCTCAGGCACCATCTTTGGTGCTAGGCTGATACTCCTCACCGTCGCCTGCACTGGACCAACCAATGTCAGAGTTGCATCTCTCGGCGCTGGGCCAATTATCATCGATGTTGCCGTGATGTCCTTCCGCCACCACTTCACCACTGCCAGCACCAGACCCAAACAAAAATGAAGTCACCAATTCTTAGGCGCCATCATTTGCCGCTTGGCCTACCTTGCCGATGTCACCTTTGTCGATTTCAGGTCCTGTGCTTCCTCCAGAAAAGTAAGGGACGCACTCAAGGTCCTTGGTAGGCCTGTCTGAGGTTACACCCTGGGCCCATAACTATCTCAAATCTAACAGAGTCATGGTCACTATCTCCAAACCGCTCCCCTACTGATAAGCCTTCTACTGTCCAAGCTCATTTCTGAATACTAAATCCAGAACTTCCCATTCCTTGCACTGGTTATAAAATGTTCTTCAGTGTGCAATTTGAAGGATTTTCTCCCTCCTGACCTTGCACATTAAAACTATCCTAGATAATGTTTGGGCAGTTAAACCCACACTGTTTTACCTCAAGACCACTTAAGTTCTGCGCTGGAGCTGCTCAAGGCCTTTGCTGCTGGCGATGCCATCCAAGCTGAGGACAAGGTAAATTTAAATAAATGAAGAGAGAAGAGAAGTAAAACAAAAAGAAAAGCGGTGGGAGCAGACAAGCTGTGACACAGGAACCATACTCTGCTGCCATCTTGGACTGGAACCCTTGCCTTGGAACCCATGGGCTTTTAATTTCTTGACCAGTCTGCCATGAGGGACCTTATCAATGGTTTCTTTTTAAATATATAGAAAGACCTTATCAAAAGCCTTGCTAATATTCATGTAGATCACATCAAATGCATTACCCTCATCAGCACTCCTGGTCATCTTCACAGAAAATTCGATCAAATTTATATAACTCAACCTCCATTTAAAATTGACACTGACTACTACTGTCTGTCAAATTTGTGTCTCTCCAAGTGTAGATATATTTGGGCCCTCACAATTGTTTCTAATAACTTCTCCACCACCAAGATTACACTGACCAGCCTGTAATTTCATGATCTACTCCTTCTTCCCTTTATCAATAACGGGACAATGTTAGCAGTCCTTCAGTCCTCTGGCATCTTACCTGTGGCTAGAGAGGATTCAAAAATTACTACAAAGCCCTGTTATCTCTTCGCTTGCCTCCCTGATACATCTTACTGCATGAGGATTTATCCACTTTTAAGACTCCTAATCCTACTGGTATCTCCTCTTGCTTTGTTAATTTCTTAGAAGATTTCACAGTCCTCCACCATGATGTCTGTACCTGCATTGTCATTTTCCATTGTGAAGACTGATGCAAAGCATCATTGAACATTGGGCCTGAATTTCCAAATCTGCACACACATCATCTCTATGCTCCCCAATGGGCTCTACTTTTCCGTAGTTATTCTCTTTCTTTTTATATATTTAAAAAGAAACCTTTTCGATTTTCCTTTATTTTACCACTGGTGCTTTCTCATGCACTCTCTTAGCTCTCCTAATTTACTTTTTTAAGTTTCTCTGCGCTTTGGTGACTCTGCTGTATCAGGCCCTCAGTTTCTGCCATAAGGTTCTCTGTTCTACTTAATCCTAACCTCTATGTTCCTTCACATCTGGTCATGGTCCTACCCTTTACCTTTATGGGAACGTGTTTGCCCATTACCCTTGCTATTTCCTCCTTGAATGCCTCCCTTTGCTCTGACACAGTTTTATGTAGAAGTAGCTGCTCCTAGTCCGCTTGGGTCAAATTGTTTCTTATTTTGGCAAAATTAGCCTTCCTCCAATTTTTACTTCTATTTCAAGCCCATCCTTATCCTGTTCCATAACTTTCCTTAATCTAGCGGAATCATGGTCACTACCATCAAAAATGCTCCCCTACTGATAAGCCTTCTATCGTCCAAGCTCATTTCTGAATTGTGAGTCCAAAACTTCCCCATTCTTTGTTAGGTGTTCAACACACCGGTTACAACATGTTCTCTAGGATGCAATTTGAAGAATTTTCTCCCTCCCTACCTTGCACACTAAAACTATCCCAAACTGTTTTACCTTATTATTCTGAGGCTACACTGAAATTTGATGACTTATTTGATCCTCTATCTCTCCTGTTTGGAGGCCTTTAGTAGGTACATAAGTGTTTTTGTTCTTCTACCCATATGGCTTCAATTGACGATCCTTCCAATATATCATGCCTCCTCACTGCTATAATTGATTCCTTGATGGATATTGTGACCCTTCCCCCATCTTCTCTCCCTCACTATTTTGTCTGAATACCCTATAGCCGGGAGATTTGAGCTGAGGAAAATTGCAAGAATGGATCTATGCTGAACTTGATGATCCTTCTGTTTTTGCATCAAAGCAGTTTCAAGAAGTACACAAATGATGCTCTTTTTATGCAGATAGCAGCTGCAGGATTTAATTCTTTAAAAGATCTGTATGATCTTGCACAAAGTGACAGAATAGGGCCCATACAGAAGTCTTTCCAGTTACAACGATGCAAATATTTAGCCTTCTTAAAAGCTGTACTTTCAAATCACTGGAATGTGGCTTTTTTTTTATCAGCCAGTAAATTAGTAAAGTCATGTTGTTATAAAGCATGGCTTCATAGCAATATCTTAACTTGCTGTAAGTTCAAGTCCATTGCCATTCCTGCACTTGTTTATCTAAGCTGGCACCAACTAATCAATGTCATGATTTTGAGATCTTGTTCTTGTTTTCAAAACCCCTCCATAACCTTGTCTTACCACCTGCCAACAAAAAAAACTTTGTATTCACCTTCAAGTGCATAACTTGCCGAGACTGTTGCATTGTCAAATTCTAGTATTTAAGCATCCTAGATTTTTTTTTAAAAGAAACGAAAACAGAAGTTGCTGGAAAAGCTCAGCAGGTCTGGCAGCATCTGTGGACAGAATTCAGAGTTAACGTTTTGGGTCCAGTGACCTATCCTCAGAACATTTTTTTTTTATTTGAGCTGCCACTGAGGTCTCTGTCTTGCTTCGTCTGGATATTAACCTCGGGAGTTTCCACTTTCCTCTTTTAAAGACAGTTCTCCAAGCCTGTTTCTTTGACCAATCATTTGATCATCTGAACTCACATTTTGTTATGAAGTTTTGTATCATTTTGGTGTATAATAACCTCCTGAAGGGCCATTGGATGTTTATGTTCAGGGTGCTGTATAGATACAAGTCGCTGCTGTTGAAACAGTGACCAATATAAAGGAGCAGTCTCTTTGTGCTATTGCTCCATAACACATTTTTGTTGATCCGTTCAAACAGAGCAAAGCATAATGCTAGATTCTTCTCAGCCAGTACCCAGGTGTCTTTTCTGAACTCCGGCATTAGATGGGCATTTTAATATAGTTCAGTAACTTAATTGAAACTATTGGCTGATTTTGAATTAATCTGAAACAGAGACTGTATTTTACTATTCTGTTGGTAAACTTTTTACTTTTCTCACTTGAATATATTTAGTCAATTTTCTAACTGTCCACAGACAAAGGAGACTGCAAAGGAATGTGTCAAAATACAAAGTGTTTGAAGATTATCTCCTGAAAGTAATTGATAATTTGCCTGAAAGTAAGTATATGGTTTATAGTTGCAAAGCGGAAATGTTTTTTATGGTTATATAAGTTGAAATGACGTTCTCACTTTTTGAATGGGGAGGAATGACGAGGAGAAATTCAATACAAATTACTGCCCCAGCATTTAAATTTTAAAGGAAACACAATATCTTTTGCGCACCTTGATTTTAATCTTTTTGGTTTTTGGTTGTGAAGGTGGACAAAAATTCTCTCACACTGAATTCAAGTCCTGTCTTTCTGCAGTTAATAATTAAACAAAGATGGATAGATTGATTCCTATTACTGTGCCACTTTTTATTTTTGATTTATTTTTATTACCTGCTCTTTAAGACTGTCGTACAAGCTAAAACACATTAAAATGCAGTAGTCTCAAGTTTCAACAGGCAGGATCCATTGACCTACCCTTCTTGGAAGACTGCCAGAAACCCCAGGGAAAATTATGTAAATGTTTTAAAAAAGGGTATTTTAAAAATTGCATATCTTAAAAGGAAATCTGTTGATTGTAATCTGTTGAGAAATGCAGTTTTAAAGCATACAAATGATGAGAAAGGATTAACAGCAAGTTACTGCCTTATCTGCAATTTCATACTTTTATAGATGTATAATGGTTATTATAACAATTTGTTCCTAGTTAAAAGTTACTGTGAACAATTTCAAGTTGTGCTTTGATCTTGTTATATGTTCCAGACTACTTGGAGTTCAGCTCAGAATCTATGGTGATGAGTATCATTCGAAAACACGAAACCCTTGGAGCCACCAGTGAGGCTTTGATAAATAATCTCAGCAGGTTGTCAGATGAGATGGAACAATGCCAGCGTGACTTGGAAAGTCTGCGTCAAGAATATGACACCACAAAATTGGTATAGTTTTATTAACTGTTTTGTGACATGCATAAACTATTTTATCAATCTATTTGCTAAAAACTTTTGTGCACATCAAAATAAAAGTTCTGAGGATGGGTCACCGGACCCGAAACGTTAACTCTAGTTTTTCCTTCACAGATGCTGCCACACCTGCTGAGCTTTTCTAGCAACTTCTGTTTTTGTTCCTGATTTACAGCATCCGCAGTGTTCTTTCAGTTTTTATTAGGGAAATCAAGAATCTGCTTCTGCATTCTGTGAATTCAGTGATGCCGTTGTACTATTCTTGTTGAATGGATGGAAAAAGTTCAGCTGATGACTTAGTCATTGAAATGGTAATAAAAAACAAATATTTGGGTGGGAAGGGTCTGATCAAAAATAAAACTCGTTTTCTCCTATGGATGCTTCCTGATTTCTGTACTTTTACAGGTTTTATTTCAGGTTTTCATTAAACCTTGATTGACATTTATGGTTTACAATGAGACATGTTGAAATTAGAATATAGACTTCAAATAAAGCCAGGTATGGGGCTGAGTTGCATTGGGATATTTGATTAAAAGGTGTGAATGTGGATGTGTGTTGGTAGGTAGTTAAAGAATATCCCCTTCCTAACTCCCTACCAACACTCACCTTTCCTGGCCCCATCCCCGCCTCTTCGACCTGTTTGTTTCCTCTCCACCTATCCTCCCCTCTATCCCTCTTCTATCCGCCTCCCACTCTCTCCCTATTTATTTCAAAACCCCCTTCCCCTCCCCCTTTTCTGATGAAGGGTCTAGGCCCGAAACGTCAGCCTCTCTGCTCCTATGATGCTGCTTGGCCTGTGGTGTTCATCCAGCCCTGCACCTTGTTGTCAAAGAATATTTCAAACTTTTATCCACAAGTCTACATTCCATTTGAGAAGCAACAGCTCTACAGGAAAAGAGATTCATTTGTGACAAACTAAAGACATTAGGAAAACAGTGTTAATGTTTCATGGCCAAAGACTCTTCTCCACAACTGGTCTTTAACTCTGTTTCTCTCTCTGTAGATGCTGCCAGGTCTGCTGAATGTCTCAGCATTTTCTGTTTTTATTTCAGATTTCCAACATCTGCTGTATTTTGCTTTTACTTAGGGGTAAGAGGTAGTAATGGATGAAAAGATGCCTATAGTATTGTCAAGACAAGTAGTGAGAGTTAGTTTGGGTGAGTTTTGGATACCAGCAAAGAATGACCAACAGTTTGATAGAGGGGAAAAATAGTATATGTGAATTAACTAGCTTGAAATATAAAACAGATTGTAGGAGTTTGTACAAGAATGTATAATGAGAGAAAAATAAATGTGGCTCCCTGGAGAGACAGAAGCAGTAGAAATCACAGTGAAGATTGAGGAAAAGGCAGTTGTTAAATAAATATTTCATCAGTTTTCACAGCAGAAGACATAGGAAAAAGGAATAGTGATAAGCCAAGAGTCCAGTGAGAGTGAGAAATTAAAGTAATTAATAAATTAATGGGACTGGAAAGCAGCAAGTCATGAGGACCTGATGGCTCACACTGTACGGTTCGAAAAGAGGTGGTTTCAAATGTAGTGGTTATTTTGTTTCTGATCTGTTGAATTTTCCCAGATGCTCGAATAGTCCCATAAGATTGCAAAGTACAAATGTAACTGAGTATTTAAAAAACAAGAGAGACGACGAACTCAGGTCTATAGGCCAGTTAGCCTGATATCAGTTGTTGGGTAAATTCTCTATTAAGGGAGTGATAACAGGCACTTGGAAAATCAAAGCATGACTCGGAAGACTCAGCATGGTTTCATGAAAGACAACTAATGACAGATCCAAGAGAATTATTTGAGGGTCTAACGAGCAGGATAGCAAAAGGGAACTAGTGGGCACAGTATATTTTTACATTTTCAAAAGGTATTTGATAAAATGCCATGTAAAAGTTATGGACTTGTTGGGTTGGGGAGAACACATTAGCTGCATAAAGTATTGGTTAAAGAACTGAAAAACTGAGTGTAGGAACAAATGGATCATTTATGTATGTCAACCTGTTACTCGTGGGTTTCCACTAGAATTGGTGCTGAAGATTTAGCTATATTCTCTGTCTTTGTGACCTATGTGACAGAACTGGGTTTAGTGTATCCCAGTTTGCTGATGATACTTTTCCACCTTGCTTTGTAAGTTGAGAAGAGAGCACAATGGGCTCTTACTAAGTGACCTAATGTGTGCTATCTTATCAAACAAGTGAGACAAAGGCCTAGTAGTATTCTCACTAGCCTCTTATTGCAGAGACCCAGGTAATGGTGGGGACCTGAGTTTGAATCCTGCCATGATAGATGATGGAATTTGAATTCAATTTAAAATGACAAAATCTGGATTTGAGTCTAACGATGACTCTGAAACCATTGTGGATTGTTGGAAAAATGAATCTGGCTCACTGATGCCCTTTAGGCAAGAAAAGTGCTATCCTTACCTGGTCTTGTGTACATGTGATTCTAAATCCACAGTAATGTGGTTAACTCTTAGTTGTCCTCTGGGCAATTAAGAATGGGCAATAAATGCTGACTTAACCAGCAATGCCCACATCCAGTGAATGAATTTTTAAAAATGCCTTCTGGAAATTCAAACATATTATATCTACTGGTTCCCCTTTATCTATCCTGTTTGTTAACTCTTCACAGAATTCTAATAAATTTGTCAGGCATGATTTCTTCTTCATGAAGCCATGCTGACTGCTTGATTATGTTTAGTATTTCTAAATGTTCTGTTACTACATCCTTTATAATAGACTCTAACACTTTCCCAATAACAAATGTTAAACAAGCTGGCCTAGTGTTACCTGTTTTTCTAATGATTACCACTGGATCAGAAGAAATTTCTTCACTTAGAAGGTTTTGAACTTCTGAAAGATCTACCCCATAGAGCTGTGGTTTCTCCATCATTGTGAATATTCAAAGCTGAGATCAGTAAATTCGAGTTTTTAAGAGAACCAAGAGATATGGAAAGAAAAGTGGAATTGAAGTTGGAGGTCAACAGTAGATCTAGTGAATGGCAGAGGAAGCCCAAAGTGCCAAATGGTTCAATCTTACTCCTATTTCTAATGATAGCTCGGGATAATGCCATGTCATGGAGAAGTCTCTTTCTGAGGTCACTTACTATGGACTCTTCTTCTCCCTTTATTTTCCTTTTTTGTTTTTGGCCCAATCTTTGTCACCATCATTCTCTCGGACTTTAATAAATCTCATGGTTTTTAGTTATCCAATTTCCCTAGAGATCCATACCATCTCAAGTATATTTAGTCTCAGTTGATTAGTCCACATCCTCTGTAATAGCAGTCTTTCCCATAGACTCCCTTTTCTGCATTGTTGTGCTCCATTAGGCAGATAACATTTAAGGTTGAATTTTGCCAAAAACCGACTGAGTTTCAGTTTCAGGCGTTTTATTAAGGGTTTATTTCCGTAACCTTAGCGAGGTTTCTTCTTCAATTCTCTGATGCTCACCTCATTATGTATGCAACATACCTCTACAGCACGGTGCTCACACTATTGTGTGCTCCCTGATAGTGGAAGGACTCACCACTGCAAGGATCTTATGGGATTTGCTCTGGGATATGCAAGTGCCATATTAAATCCCAGCTATGCACAAGTTCAAATGCTGCACGCCAAGAATAGCAGCATGGGAGGAATTGCCCTAGAGCTGGCCAACAGAGACAAGTCAGCTCCCTGTCAGAAACCTGGAGGTTGTGCTGTGTGGGATGCTAGAGAGGGGCGCTGTTCCCTTTCCTGCAGACTGGCAAAGGAGGTCATGCCACCAGACCCAGTCAGCCAGGTCTGAATTTGCTACTTAAAGTCAGTGCAGTGTCCATAGTCTGGTATGCGGAAATGTGGGAAGAAGATTAGTGACCTTTTGGTACTCTGGAAGGGTAATGCTACCATCTTCCCTCTGCTACCTCACATTCACTCCTATTAAAATCTCACATTAAGATAACAAACTGAATATAAATCAGATTCAAAGTTAATGTATACAATTAGCCCTGTCGCCGTTTACTAGTGAGAATCTCGTCACCCTGTTAGGACCTTGGTTGGAAAATCTGACCTTTTCTCAATCAACGTTGAGAATCTAATTTTTCCATTCTCGCCATATTCTGCAACTAAAAGGATATTGCCCATACTGATCAGAGGTTCAGAAAATCCCACACTTAGTTTCTGTTTCCCTCCCGTACAGCTAATTTAGTGTACAGAATTTATTTATTGTACAAATTCCAAAAAAAGAACTGATTGTCTTTCATGCCATTAAATCATTAATGCTCACTCATCTATATTTGTTCAAACACTGTCCTGATATTGGATCAACAGCTGCTCCTCTCCTATCATTGACATGGTGCCATCTCACACGTGTCTATAACATAGTCTTTATTAAAGATGAATGCGAAGTGATAAATAAACACCAGACTAACATAACTTTATGCAAGGGAGTTTTCAAATTAATTTCTTTTGGGTCATAGCAACTAGGCTCAGATAATTATCTGGCAACCTGACTCTGAATCTGTGGATTCAAGGCACACTTCAAGACTTGAGCAAGTAATTGAGGCAGACACTTCAGAACATTCAACTCATACAGTATTTCATTGAAGTGCCACATCTTAATTAAAGAACTCAGCCAACATCCTTTCTTAAGTGAAGGATAGATTTATTTTTGTATCTGAGTTAACATTCCTCCCTCAGCCCGATGCAGTTACATGAATTTTTTGTCTCCACGGATGCTTTCAAGGCTGCTGAGTGTTTCCAGAATTTTTCTGTTTTGTTTCAGATTTATAGTATCCACAGTATTGTGCTTTTATTTGTGCATTTTATGCTGTTTTTAAGTGTACTACGTCTCCATTTATTGAAGCACTTTGCTTCTAAACAATGCAGTGTATAATCTTTGATTGAATTAAGATGCTTTACTGACTAGGTTTCCAGCTAACAGCATTATGAAAATCCTGTTTATTTATTTCTCATCTCTTGCTTGCAGTATATTAACTTACTGCTCCGATACATAATATTGATGTAACACTAGACAGTAACTGATTGGGATTTTCAATTGCCTGTGGGGCCCACAACAGGAGCAGTATTACGTTTTGCACATCGAATTTCTTGACTGCAAACAGAGTATTCTGCTCTCTAAATATATATTTTAAATGAGTTGTGCAGAGATTGATTTGAGGTGGAGGATCCTGTTGCTAAGTCAGTAACTAACGGTCTGCATTTCTGGGTGGCGAGTTACTGTCCGAAAACTTCACGGTGCACTGAGATTTCCAATGTGAGACCTTGGCAGATGAGATGAATCTGAAAACTGCTTGCCTCCAATTGACAGCCTGTAAAGCTCCTTGAGGAGCTTGTTAACAGCCGAGAGAGAGCGAGAAGGAAACTTTCAATTTGTAAAGCTGACTGGTTCATTGCAGGGAGTAATTAAGGATTTTTTAAATGGGAAAAGTACTTGGGCTGGGAAGATCTTGCTCCAGATCAGGCATAATACATTTCAGTTAATCATTTGGTTGTTGGCCCTCCATTGTGCTGGCTGCTCTCCTCTGTCAGGCAGTGACAAGCCTCATCGTGGCTTTCGTCTGCCTGTGCCACTCCTGCTCTGCAGACAGCGCTTCCATTCACCCTCCAGGTACAACACTCAGCATCACTAATTGTAGGCTGAGGTCTCCACCATTACATTTGAAGATTATATCCCCAGAAAGGGTCATGGAATTTATTTGGGTGTCAGGTTCCCAACCCTGAATTGAGCTCCTGGTCTCCATATAATAAAAGAGAATGTGCAAAACAGATTGGTCTAACCTCTATTTAAACTGAGAAATGATACCTATTGTGAAAGATTGAACCAGTTAGGGCTGTTTTCTCAGGAAACTATCAGCTATCCTGATGATACGTCTTTATGACCATGACAGGGTCTGATAGGGTAGCCATGGAGTCAATACACACACCACTTATGCTGAATTAAGCTCCATAAATATATGGAAGTCACTAACACATCCAATAGGGAATTCAGAGGAAACTTATTTACCCAGGGAACTTGTAACCTGAAGGAACATTTGCATATTTTTAATATTTAATAGTGCAGATGTATTTATGGACAATATGCAAGAATGGGAAGAAATGGAAGGATATGTTGGTGAAGTTAGATGATGATTGGGAGGGGCCTATTTGGAGCAAAACACCAATGTAGATCTGCAGGCCAAATGACTGATCCTGTGATGGATATAACATATGGCTATGTAAACAGTAGACTCCATTTATGGAACACGTAATAGTATTAGGGAGTCCACACCTTACTTCATGAAGGAATAGTTAAATGACCAGTGACAAAAGATTTACACTCTGGATATTTTTACTTATTTCTACTGATATTCTGACTGGCAGCTTGATAAATATTAGCTAATCAACATTCAATTCTATTATAATGCAGAGACCATTTGCTTCTTTTAACATGGTGAACCAGCATTAATTGATAACTTCCCTTTGGATGGCTTAACATCAAAAACTTTGTTTTTAAATAGATGATTAATAGTCAACTCTCGGTCCGTCAAATGGAATGCGATGAAGTAAAGGAGAGGAATAAACGGATAGAAATGAAAATAAATCTACAACGTGGCAATTTTGTTCATAAGGTAAATCATAAGGTGATCAAAAAAATTGTTAAAGTGGCAATGGCAAAGAAAAATTCAGTATTTAGTACCATGAGGAATTTTACTTACCAACTAAAATGGGACATTTTAATCATTTACAAAAGAAGTAAAAATAGCTTGATTTTTGAAACCAGATTTATGAATCTCCTGTGGTTTAGAATTATGAATGGAGGATACATCACTTTATACCAAGACGATCATTATTTTGTAGGAAATATAGAGGTTTATACTTTGATGTTGGTGAGAGTTGGGGGCATGCCACATATGAAAGTGCACTTCCTTCTGCCCAACCACCTGACCCTTATTTATCTGAACTTTTATCGGGGTGGGGAAGGTGTTGTGCAGACAGTTTGTGGCCTCATCCCATGTCCTCTGGGATTTTAACTTGCATTGTAGAGGCTCCACACCAATTGGAAAGCCCAGCAGCTTTAGCTGTGAAACCTCTTCTTTGGCCCCTCTGGACCCAGCAAAAGATACACCATCCCTAAAGCTCCTGCTTCCCTTTTCATGCTTCATCCCGGCCTCACAACCTGGCCTCCCTCCTACCTTCACCTGTGCTTGACTTCATTGCCAATCCTGGGTCTTGGCATAAATGTTGGCTTCTTGTTTGCTTTTCTGAAATATTGATTATTGTCACCTTCTGCCTTGCCCAGCCAAATGCAACAATACTTCTAATTCACTTCTTTATACTTTGGGCTTTTGGATGCTGGTGTAGCTGATTATACAGGAGCTTTCAAATCTTTATGCACTTTTAGCTGCAACCAAAATCCATCTCCCAAAAAACACAGTTTTTAAAAAAAGTTTAAATTCCAGTGCTGCACTGTTAAACTGATCAACTCTTCCGAAGGCCTCAACTGCCATTCAACAATTACCACCTGCTTGAATATAGGATTTCTTCCAGATTTGCCAGAACCAATTCCCAGTTATTGACCTTGTTAATAGCCAACTTCTGCTATTTGTTTCAATGTAATGCACTTCCCGGGGTCACTGTGTCTGTTGGAATTTGTTTAATCAATATCAGCCAATAAATAGCCACTTGGCCTGACCTTACAAACAAACAAGCAAACTTCTCACATCAGACAGAGGTTCACCTGCACATCTGTCAATGTGGTTTACTGCATATGCTGCTCCTGATGTGGCCTCCTCTACATTGGTGAGACCAAGCGGAGGCTCAGAAACTGCTTTGTAGAGCACCTTCGCTCTGTTCACGACAAATGACAACACCTTCTGGTTGCGAACCATTTCAACGCCCCCTCCCACTCCCTGGGCAACATGTCCATCCTGGGCCTCCACCAGTGTCACAGTGACGCCACCTGGAAACTGGAGGAACAGCACCTCGTATTCCGCCTTGGGAGCCTACAGCCCAATGGCCTAAATGTGGACTTTACCAGTTTCAAAATCTCCCACCCCCGGCCTCATCCCATGACCAACCCTCCCTCTCATCCCTGCCTCCTTGACTTGCCCCAACCTGTCCATCTTTTCTCCCACCTATCCGCTCCTCCTGCCTCACTGACCAATCCCCACCACTGCCTGCCTGCACTTACCTATCACCATCCCACCTACCTTCCCCAGCCCCACCCCTCCTCTCTCTATTTATTTCCGAGCTCCCTTCCCCCTTCCCCATTTCTGAAGAAGAATCCCGACCCGAAACGCCAACTTTCCTGCTCCTCTGATGCTGCCTGGCCTGCTGTGTTCCTCCAGCTCCACACTGTGTTGTCTCTTCTTTGGTCTGTTTGTTTCCTTTAATGACAAACTGTCCCAAAGTCTGTAAGTCACTTCCAGCTCACAATTCTAAATTGATAAAAGAATAAAACTAAAAGTAATGAAGAATCAATGAGGGTTCTAACTTTAAAAAAGCAATTGTACACTCAGTCATGTTAATTTCAATATCTTAAATGTGTTTCTCTCTTGACAGATGCTGCCTGAGCTTCTACATATTTCCAGCACATCCTATCTTCTGTTTTTGATTTTCAACATCCATTGTACTTACTTTTATTGTAGCTGGTTTGCTTGTTTTCAGTTTTTCTCAATCCATGGTAATTTTTCAAGGAATCAAACCGCATTTGATTAATTTTATGTTTCGATAATTGGATATTTGATTAGCAGTTCTACAAATTCATCCTCGTTTCAATTAATCATTAATCTGTTTGATAGATGGTAGTGCCCTGGGATTTGACAGTTTTGTGTATGAAAAGGGTGCATTTAATTGTAATGGTGTCTGCGTTCCTGAACACTGCTGGAGTGTCATACTAGAGATGGAGGTTTGAATGTTAGCCTTGACATGTTTGAATGTATAAATTATTTGTGATTAAGTTTGTTTTCTAGATGCTTGCTTTCTGCTGATTAGGGAAGCCTGTAATTTTTCAGCAAACACACTCTGAAACACTTAAAATGAAAATGCTACTTCTGCCAGACGCTATGGTTATGGAGAGCTTTGTGGAACAGAAGTCTTTGTACTGTCCAAATAATTGAAGGAAAAGAGCATTGTCAATGATTCAATGAGATAGGGAAAAATAGCATTGAACAAAGATAATCTCTTTGTATATCAAACATATCTTGATTGAGTTGATTTTGCCCACAATAGCACTCTAAATTAGAGGTGTAACTGAAGGTTAGTGGCGGGATGAAATGGACTGTAATAGATGGGCCATCTGTTGTGCATCTTGCCCTGTTTTTCTTTCCATTGAAGTTAATTTTAAAAAAATTGAGCTGGATGAGTAATGGACGATTTATCCCGCTGAAGCTGTAAATTCCATCCATAGCTTCAAGATGTCAAACTGCAAAAGGACATCTATGCTTAGACTGTCCAAATGGGGGTCTGCCAGTATTCAGGTGGATATGATCAGAAAGATGGGTTGAGATCTGTAATGCTGGGCCTTTTTGTAACAGATGGGTAATTTAATGCCATTGTCAACCTGTTAACTCATTCTTTACTCTCTCTTTTCATAGAGTGAAGGGTTTGGTGCCCTCTTATTGGCTATTAATAATCTGGCAGATCAATGCTACATGAGACATTATGGAATATTTGAAGAAATTGACATTTTAACAAAGCTGGACATGGTGAAGGTCAGAATGCTAATTTTGCTACCATGTAAAGTAAAAGTAAAATTACTTTGTCAGAATGTTTGACTCTGCCTGATTCCAGCAGTATTTATGCTCAACTGATTTTGAAACATCCATGCCTTTGTTGTCTCTAGTCTCTGCTGTTCACAGGCTCTTCTGGTTAACCTCCTGCCTTCATTCTCTGTAAACTTTAGCTCAACCCAAATCCTGTAAAGATTCATATTAAGTCATCTTTACTTATCACCCTTGTGCTTGCTGGCTAACACTGGCTCCCAGTTTGACAACACTTCAGTTCTAATATTGTTACGCTCATAGAGAAGGCAAATACCAACAGAGATTTCGTCTTGAGGGAATGCCTAGAACATAATTGGTCATAATAAACACCCTATTTCATCAGAGAGACAAATACAGAACCTGATAGAAACACTCTGACTCCAAACATTGGCAGCTGCTTGATTATGCTATCATGCAAAAAGCGGCTGTGAGGGTATCTGCATCACTCATGCCGTAACAGGAGCTGATGACTGCTGGACCAGCCATTGCCTAATCATGTCTACTATTTCAGCCAGGAGTGGCAGCAGAAACGGTGCTGCTGAAATTCAATGGTGACGGACTCAAGGACTCGGCAAAGAAAAACCTACTTAGTCGCTGCCTTACCAGCAGGATCCACAGAATGTCCATGGTGCGTAGTCAGCCCTTTAATCCATCGTAAACAACACTTGTGAGAAAACTCTAATTGTTCTTCTCAAAAAGTTTAACACTGGTGTGACGAGAACAACTAGGAGATCCAGGAGCTACTAAATCGTAAGCGCAAGGCGATCCTTAACTGGAAGCACCACAATCCACAGCGTGGTATCTGCTGCCACATCAACACAGTTCCAGCCTGACCTAAGTACAAAATGACCAAACAACAGCTGAGAACCAACAAGGCAGCTGGGGCAGGTAGAAACCTTGCTAGAATACTGAAAAATGATGGGCAAGTACTCTTGGCATGAGTTACATGACCTCATCTCCTTTGTCTAGAAAGAGGAGAGTGGCCAGCAGATCTCTGAGACATTGTAATAATGACCATTTTAAGGAGATAAAACCAATGGTGGTAAGTACACAGGGGTCTTCCTGATGTCTGCAACTGGGAGGACCATTACAAAAACTTTTCTCAGTCACTTCTTCCTGGTAGCTGACAAGCTCCTTACAAAGTCATAATGCAGATTCCATCCATCAAGAGGCATAGTAGACCTGATCTCCCTAGCAAGAAAAGTCCAAGAAATACCTAGAGTCCAGCAGCAACCTTTGTACAATGTCTTCTTCAACCTCATAAGACCTTCAACTCTGTTAACCAGGAGGGACAATGAAGTATCCTTTCCAAATCTACTACCTGTATAAACTCATCAACATTATCCTCTCACTGCCTAACAAGATGCAAGCTGGGATCCTCAGCAACAGATCCACCACAGACCCAATGGATGTGCAAACTGGTGTCAAGCAAGGCTTTCCACTGCCTAAACACTCTTCTCCATCTTTCCCACTGCAACACTTTATCCCATATCCATGAAACCTCCCACTGGGAGTGGAGCTTCTCTACAGGATGAGTGGGAAACTGTTCAATCTGTATCATTTCCGTGTCTAGAACTAAGACCACCCCAACCTGCAGTACATAGTCGGCACTTCCATCTGTGCACACTTTCTCAAAGGCAATCAAGGATGAGCAACAAATGCTATGGACAAATACGAAAGTTAGGAGGTGAGCTACTTGCAAAGTTCCCAGCCTCTC